CATACGTCCTCTACAACCTTGACCCATTCCGTGGGTTGTCTACCCCTCTTTTTGTTTGCCCACTTCGCCTCCCATAAAATCCTCGGCAACCTCTCCTCTCCCATCCCGCACATGCGATACTGCCAGGTCAGCTTCCTCGCGTCTCTTCCCGACCGTAGGGATTGGATCCCCAATTCTGCAATCACGGCTGCATTACTTGTGCGCCTGGAGCATCCTAGGGGTGTGATAAATTAAAAAATAGGGCTAGCAGCTAATTAAAAAAAAATGTCTGCTGTTGTGCTTCGCTTGTTGGTTCGAGCTTTGATCGAGAAATCTCAAAAGCGTTCAAGCGCGTGATGGGTAACCAGGCTAGCACGGGAGGCACTGGTCGCACACTAGGCCTTCGCGCACAAAAGTGTAGAGAGGCGTACAGCAGTACATGTCGCACCAATGGTGGTGCGTAACAGCGTCTGTGTGTTGTTGGTGTCATGTGCCCCTCTCCGCGGAAAGAGAGAGAGAGAGGCCGCTGCTGCTGCTGCTGCTGCTGCTGCTGCTGCTGCTGCAACCAAGTGTTGATCTCTGCTCTCGCTTCCTCCGCCGATAGCTAACAGCAGCAGTGTATGGCACACCCTTCTCCCGCCGTCTCGCCCTCGCTGTGGTCTGTGTCTCCCTCTCCCTGTTTGTCCATGTCTGACTCTGTGTGTGTGGTGTGTGGTGTGCGAGGCTATCTGTCTTGGTTCAAAATCAAACGACGCCTCCTCTCGGTGTTGCAAGGGGCCAGAAACTTCCCTGCTACAAGTTGGGTGCCGACGCTGCACTATCTCGACGCACCGAGCACGGATTTAAAATGTAGCAGTTGGGGCAGTTCGGGCAAAATATTACTTGTTGAGAACACGCCTTAGATTTCAATTTGGTTCCGAGATGGTGCAATGGGCTGGAATCTGCTGGGTAATATATCGAGGCTGGCCACAGACAGACAGACAGACTTACTTGAGCCCGTTTTGCCCCCCCCCTCTAAAGAGTTCTTTTTTTTAAGCGTACCTATCGGGCCACTTCTCTTAAAAAAAAACTATTACAATAATAACACCATGGTGCATGGTACACAAGCTCGGGGCATGCAGCTGCTGTCTGAAGTGCTGCCAGAATGAGTCCGTGGACATACAACGAAGAACAACCAACCAAAGCCATCATTGCAATTGACAATCACCCGAATCTAGCCAGATCATCTGTGTTAGACACAGCAGTGTAAACATCGACACTGACTAGGAATCGTTCCGCACTGAAGGGGTGGATGGAATTACATTTGTATGGGGTATTACTAACGACAAAAAAATCACGGAACATTGCACGGAATCGTTTGTTCTTGAACACGTATGGAGGCGTTTTTCCCCGAAAACGTGAAAAGCAGGAGCCGGGATTCGTTGGGGCTTGCTACTTTCACGGATCCGTGTTTTTGACAGAAGCACCGGACAAGCGCACCGCGGGCACTGTACCATCACTGAGAACGCTAGAAAGACCTGCCAGACTCGCATCCAGGTCTGTTGTGGAGATAGACAAGCGGCACAAGCGGCGTTCAGTCCGTTCTTGGTCCAAAACTAGACATTGCGTAGTGCCCTTGGCTTCAACTGCTGCTGTTGGTGCTGGGGAATTGTTTTCAATCACACGTAGCAAACACGGAAACAGTAGAACGAGTACGCAGCAGCAGCACCAAGACCTCCAACGCGCTGATTCCTTCCGTTCGGCTGTCTATTTGATACCATCTCCCGGCGCCGTGCTGCTTCGTGGGTATTGGGCGTTTGGGTGCTGCTCAATAAGGTGTGTGAGAGACGTGTGCCACCTCACCACGGGTAGGTTTAGTACAGTAGAGTATGTTTAGTAGAGTATCGAGAATCTGTACTAACGGTTGAGTAGAGTATGAAAGAGGTGAATACTCTACTCACCTGAGTAGAGTACAGAGGTTAGGTACTAAACTCAAAGAGTATGTTTAGTAGAGTATGAAAAGCCGTACTAAACCGCAAGAGTATGTTGAGTAGAGTATGAAGAGCCATACTATAAAGTGAGTATGAGTAGAGTATGAAAAGCCGTACGGTACTCAAAAAGATATTTAGTAGAGCCGTACAAAAGTTTTAGTAGAGTACGAAGAGCTGTACTAAACGCCACAGTATGCTTAGTAGAGTATGAAGACCTGTACTAAACGCCACAGTATGTTTAGTACAGTATGAAGAGCTGTACTAAACGCCACAGTATGTTTAGTACAGTATGAAGAGCTGTACTAAACGCCACAGTATGTTTAGTACAGTATGGAGAGCCATACTAAACGCCACAGTACGCTTAGTACAGTACATGTACTGACAATACTGACAGAACTCCGTACGTGAGCTGTACTAAACGCCACAGTATGCTTAGTAGAGTATGAAGACCTGTACTAAACGCCACAGTATGTTTAGTACAGTATGAAGAGCTGTACTAAACGCCACAGTATGTTTAGTACAGTATGAAGA